CCAGAGTAGTTCACTCTGGCCAGGCTGGGCCTCAGGGATCTGGAGTGGCCCCTGTCGGGAGGGAAGGTTGGTGAGTGGGTCAGCCTGCCATTAGGAGGGGGGCGGGGCTGGAACGGGCCTGGGAAAGCTCATGGATGATCATGACTCAGGCCCAGGGCGCTGAGTTGGACACTGTGGCATGTGCCATGGTAAGACAGGATCCTTTCTAGGCTTTAGATTTGAACTCCAAGGATTAGGCCAGATGAGGCCACAGGAAAGATAAAAAAGAGATTTCAATTCTCATGATTTCTTTACTCTGTTGTTGGACAGGGCAGGGAGAAAGTGGGTATTTAAGATGTTCTGAATTAGGACATGAAAATTTATAGCCTGGAGAGCTGTTACTTTGCTTATTTATTCAGGGCATAGAGGTTAGCAGGGTGGGGCCTTGGATCCCAACTGCCAGAGTTCAAATCCTGGTTCTGCCACTTAAAATATGACCTTAGGCAAGTTATATCACCTTTTTTTTTTTTTTTTTGCCTTAGTTTTCTCATTTGTAAATTGGGGCTATTAATAGTAACTACCCCATAGAGTTTTTATAAAAATTAAAGGAATATCAACATGTATCTTGCCATAAAGTTGGCTACCTTAATTATTTTTTCCAATGACAAAGTCTGAGAAGTCAGGGCTGTCCCCTGGCTGGTCACTGTGTGAGTAGAAGGTAATTCTCCTCTTCCTTGTCGCCTGTGTTGAAACTATCATATCTTGCCGATTCCTCTTTATAGAGCCTCTGACAACCCTCTCCTCGTGTTCAGGCCCACCACAACTTCCTGTTTTGGACCCTCATTATTTCAGGCTGAGGCTGTTAAAATCGCTTCCTAACCCGTCTCTTGTCTCCATCCTTCATGGAGCTGTCAGATCAATCTTCTAAAACACTGTTCTCATGCCGCTGGTCTGTTCGAACACCTTCAGTGGCTCCTAGGGGAACAAGGGCTAAGCCTTCTATGCTTGTCCTCCACCGTACCTCCCGATTGGACCCTCCAGATCTTCTCTGTCAGGCCCCTCCCCACCTGTGCCCTTCGTTCCTCCCAACGCTTGGACTGTTGCTCAAACCTTTCTTACCACTGTGCTTGACCTATGCTGTCCCCTCCTCAGAGTGCCCTCCTCTGGTGCTCTGCCAAACTCTCCCATCCTTCCAGGTCCATCTCGAATCCTACGTCCCCCTGTGAGTCCTCCTGAAGCCCACGGGTACTAACCTCTCCTTTCTCTCACTTGGGCCCAGTGTGCCTTTGGGCTGTTCGCTCTTTTCATGGGTAACCAATCTAACTCTACCTGTGCACGCTTCCGTGGCAGGGGCAGTCCTGCTCAGGACCTTATTCCCCACAGCCCTTGGCACTGTGGTGCGGGATCCAGTAAGTTTGTGCTAGTTGATGGCTTGTGGGAGGCACTGGGTCAGCTGCTGTCCCACGGCTGAGGGCACCTCCGCTTGCCAGCTCCATGGTTTCTGACACATCTTAGTTGCACCTCCTTCTTTTTATTCCTGGTTGGATTTTTCTCTCTGGGGCAAGGGAATCCTCAGCGTTCTTTGCTCCACAGAAGGAAAAGAGGGGATGAGATTCTGCTGGGAGTAGCACAAGTCTGGTCTGTTGAGCTGTGTGGCTAATGAGAGTGCGTGTGCGCATGCGTGCATCCTCGGGTAGGCCTGCAACCCTCCCCGCTTCCACTAGTCCTTCTGCTTCCCTACTGTTCTTCCCCTCCAGAGAATCCACTCCACCAGACGACTAGACCTAGAGAGAAGAGGGAAGGGGAAGAAACTAACGGCCCGAGTGTCCTTTCTCCCTCTCCCTGCACATTATAACTCAGGGATCTGTGATGGCAGACGGGCCATCTTGGGTGGGCAGGAGACTCATCTACCCATGAGCTCAGCTGAGATGGGCCCTTAAAGTCTGAGGAAGGGTGTGTGAATGTGTATCTGTGAACCTAAGTGCAGCTGTTTACACCTCTGAGAGTCTCCCTCTTGACCCTCTACAAAGCTGTCTCTATTTCCCTTGAAGCCCCATAGCCTTTTATCTCTGGTTTTCATTTGCCACTTTGGTGTTTATGCCTTGTCACAGGTTCCGAATTCTTCTGCATCCTGGAGGAAAGGGGTGACATTTTACGAGCCACTTTCTAAGAGTCAGGCATTTGACTAGCTGCTCTGTGTACAGTATCTCATCTGGACAAGGTTGGGTTTTTTTTTAAAAAAAATCCCCATTTTATAGATGAGATAACTGAGGTTCAGAGAGATTAAATTGCCTATGGCTAGCACATGTCCATCTGTGTTTCCTCTGCAGATCTTGGCATGGGGCAGGGGTGCGTGCATATGGGAGATTCTTGGGAAATCATGGGGTGACACTTGGACTCTGCCATATCTAAGGGCAGTTCAGGTGGAAGGTGGGTCAGCAGAGACTGAGGTGTAGTGGGAGATGCTTGTTTAGACAGGAGGGAAGAAAGGGTCCAAGGTCAGAGGGCCTCATGGACACAAGGTGATTGTTGGCCTGGCTGGTGTTGTCCACTGTCCTTGTGACGACTCTGTGATCTGGAGTCCCTGAAGGGTCTCAACCACTCACCTCCTGCTACTAGATTCCCCCACTGCCACCATGGGAAATCAGTGGGCACCACCCCTGGGTGTTCATCACTGCTTTCTCAGCAAAGCTCCCATATATGCTTCAGATAATTTTCCTTCTTATGCCCAGCCAGGATTAAAAGAAAGTTATAGAAATTGTTTTTGAGGTGGGGGAGGTAGAGAGATGTGCCTAGCAGCAATTTTGGAGCCTGGAGTAGGGCCTTGGGAGAGGGAAAATCCGAGGTGGGATACGGAAATGTGGGAGTGGTGGAGGGCATTTGGGCAGCCACAAGGCCCAGGAAGTAGGAGAGGAGAGGGGGAAAATTTATTCACACCAGTCTCCCAGCCTCCAGCCTCTGATCCAAGAGTATAATTCCTATCAGGTTTTCAACCCTTAACCTAAACTTTTCTGAAGCCGGTTCCTTAAGTCTCCCAGCTTTTGGAGTGAAAATGTGAAGTCCTTTCCTAGAACTGAAGAGGCCCGTTGGAATGGCAGGGAGGGCAGCCCCGAGGGGACTTTCCCCAGCTCCAATCCCCAAGCCTTCCTGGCCCAGGTTCTCCACTCACTCTCTAGGGCCACGTCTCCAAGCGGGCACCACTCAATGGCAGGGTGACAGGATGGAGCGAGGGCTGATGCCCTAGGATGGGGCAGATGTGAGGCGTTCGGAGGAGACCCTCAGCTCTGCGCTTCCAAGGCTGGAGAAGCCGCGTTCCCGCCTGAATCCGCAAGATGGAAGTTGCTCTCTCTAGCTTTTCCACTAGCGAAGGCTAGGCTGCAGGTTTTGTAGGTGACCCCTCCCTTCGCGCCCAGGTCCATTTCTAGCATTTACTCTTTTCCAGAGTTTTGTTCATTAAAAAACGCATCTTAAAATGCACTAACACCTACACCTTCGATCCAGCCCAGATCCGGTTTTGGGTAGCGCGTAAACTTTACGAGGCACTGTGTGTACCACGCCCCGGCACTTCGGGTGCGCGCGCAGAGCTGAATGTGTGCGCGGGAGCCGAGGGATGCTGGGCAGCTCTAACGCAGCTGAGGATGTGTCAAATGGCAGCGTGAAACTGGGGTGCCCGGGGTGCGTGGGTGTGCCCGCGCGTGTCCACAGCCCACCGTCTCGCCCCCTCTTGTCGGAACGTGTCAGCAGTCTCACCTCTCCTTCAGCCCTATCCCAGTCAGACGCTTCCTTTTTGGTGCTTCTGAGCGTTTACTGTAAATGCCGTGACTAACGCACGCCGGTGAGCCCGGCCCGTTGACAGATGGATCAATCGCCCCCTTCCCGGAAGGGGGAGGGGACCCCACCCAGAGCCTAGGAAGCGGGGAGCTGCCTGCCGCCTTGGGAGAGCCCCCCGGAGCCCAGCTCGCAGCCTAGCGCCGGCCGCCGAGCCTGGCGCGGAGACCTGGCCCGGGTCGGTCCCGGGGCGCTCCCGCCGGGGTGGGGTGCGAGTCCCCTTCCCCGATCCCTCCAGCGCAGTTCGGGGAGGTTCGCCGGCCTCCGATGAGGGGGTCAGGCCGTCACGGCTCGGCAGACTTCTTCCCGCACCGGAGGAGGGAGACAAGTGGGGAAGGGCAGTCTCGAAGGGCTGCGACGCTGGGGCGTATGGGGGGCGAGCGCGCCGCGGGCGTGCGGGGAAAGTTCTCGAGCTCCGCGCGGAGAGCACACGTGTATGCGTACGCGGGGCTCGACCGGGGCAGGCAGGCTGCGCGGGGACGCTGGGGGCTGGCTCCGGAGGGGATCCTTCTCCCTGGCACCTTCGGGAAGACGCTCTGCCTCGGCTCGCTGGCCGAAGGACGCATCCGCCCGCGGATTGTGCAGCCCCCTGCCCAGACCCTAGCCACCAAGCAGGGTGTTTTTTTTAGCGCCCTTCCCCCCACGGCCCCGGGATGGCTCGGGCGCCCGGCACTCCACGCCCTTGGGCCTCCGCTGAGCCTCCCCAGGCCTCAGTGAGCCGGTGGCCGGGGCGGGGGCAGTGGGGGAATTGGCGCGCGGCGGGGGAGGAGGAGGGTGCGGAGGCTTTGGTGGGTTTGGGTTGGAGCCAGAGCCTTCGCCGGGGGAGCCGGTCAGTTTCCGGCAAGGCTGCAGGTCAATCCGGGGAAGGGCGGGCGGCAGACCAGAGGGAGACAGCGGCGGAGCTCTCCTCTCGGCCCACGTTCCCCGGCGCCACCGCCACCGCCTTGTCGCCGCCGCCGCCGCCGCTGCAGAGTGTCGCTGCTCCGCTGCGCGCCCGCGCCTCGCGCCGCCAGCGCCTGGGAGCCCGAGCGCCGAGCCCCGGGCGGAGGAGAGGGGCTTGGGCGCGACAGCCCGGGCGAAGGAGCCGAGAAGGGGGAAGGGGGCGGGCGGAGGGAGGAGCAGGGAGAGGGAGAAGGGGGAGGGAGAGGAGAGCGAGGGAGAGCCGGAGAGAGCGGGAGCGAAGAGCGGGAGCTAGGGAGAGGAGAGGGAAAGACACACGCACGCAGAGACACACGGTCCCTGGAATTATATTAGAAAAAGGTGACACGAGCAAGGGTTAGAGGGAGAAGATCTTTTAAGACCTTCCCGTCGGCTTGTGAGAAAGAAGCGACTCCGGTCTCTGGTCCTCGAAGCTCCCGCTGGTTTGTTCCTAGGCGCTTACACCCGTCGGTGGATATCTTTCTTATTTGCGCTTTATTCTGACCCCCACCCTCGCCGCTTCCTTTCAGCCCTTCGCTCTCAGATCGCTTCTCCCCCACCTCCCCAGTCCCCTCCCGGGAGGCGCAGGGCAATCGGACCCGTGGGGACTCGCGCCTTCCCGGATGAGCTGAGGGGAGGGCAGACTTGAGGACCGGCTGTCGGCTTGGAAAGCAGACACACATCCGAATACGTGTGTATTTGATTTTAGTGGGCAAGGGGGGCGTCGAGAGGCCGCCCACCGCCCTCCGTTCCGCTACCCCCTCCAGCCAGAGGCGAGAATCGCAGGACTCAGGATCTTCATCGGGTGGACTAGCTGGGATCTCCGCATTGGATTTGGGGCTGATTATCACGGCTTGGCTATTATTATTATTGTTGTTGTTGTTATTTTTTAATCCAAGGGAGAAAGACAAAAAACAAAACAAAACAAAACTGTGGGATTTATTTAACATGATCTTGGCAAACGCCTTCTGCCTCTTCTTCTTTTTAGGTGAGTATCTGCGGGTGGCGAGGGCAGCGCGTCCGCCGGAGCCTCGGGGGCTACGCGGTCAGTGCGTTAGAGCGCTGGCGAGCAGCCGGGAACGCGGGGGGCGAGCGGGGCGCTGGCGGGGGACGGACCGGCGGGGAGAGCGCGCGGCGGGGCGAGCCGGGCCCGGGCGTAGGTGAACCGAGCAGGGCCGGCGGCGAGGATGCGGGTGGAGGGACGGGAGCTGGCGGCGAGGATGCGGGCGGAGGGACGGGAGCCGCGGCTGGCTGGTTACGCGGGGGATTGGCAAGGAGACTTATAACACCCAAGACCATCCCCGCGCACACGCACGCAGACACACACTCACTCACTCACACGCAGTGATAGCGCTCATTTCCCTCAAAATAATGGGTTCTAATTGCGGCAACTTAAGGAAAAAAAAAATCCAACTCTTGATCTGGAAGAGAGAAGGGAGGGGAGAGGCTCAGTGTCGTGGAAAGGAAAATCATGCCAGTCCCACCTTTCCCGGCGGCTCCCTGAGTCGATCGTGGTAGAGGACATGGGTTTCTCCAGGAGCTCCCGGTTGGACATCTGTGGGGGCAGCCCGGGCAGCCATCCCCCACCTGCCAGTCAACCTCTGGAAAATGCACCCCGCTTCGTACTCTCCGAACCCCTTCCTAGCGGCTCCATTCCCTGGAACACTTCTCAAGTTTCTCCCCGCCGTTTGCCCTCCCTCCCGCCCAGACCCGAGCCAGGTGGGTGGGCGGGAGTGGAGTGTTTCTAGCTGCTGTTCAGTGCGTTCCCTTTGCCACCTCTGGGGCAGGGGACCCCACAGCTGGTGGGAAGAGATGGGAGGAAGGCCAAAGTTTGCTTCCTTGGGTGAAGAAGGGGAGGGGTGAGGGGAGAATCCTGGACTGAACAAAGACCACTGCTCATTCTGTAAGCCCACTCCCCCGAGGGCAGCGAGCAGGGGCTGCCCGGTGCCCCTGAACCCCGGCAGTGTCTTTCGCACCCCGAATTACCAACCCCTCGTCCCCCTTTTATGCTACACAAAATCTCAGCTGCTTGGGAAGCAGGGGTATAGAGGGAGCATTCTTGGGGGTGGAGGTGAAGAAAAGTGGGTGTTTGCAAGGCTGTGTCCTTACCAGGAGTCCCAGGCAAGGCTGCTGCCCCAGTAGGTGCTCCAGAGAGGGAGCAGGGTAACGGTGTGTGTGTGTGTGTGTGTGTGTGTGTGTGTGTGTGTGTGTCTGTGTCTGTGTCTGTGTGCGCGCGCGCGCGCGCGCTCTGAAGGAGCACACATCTGCTTCATTGTGGGTACTGCTCCTGCCACCCTGGGCTGCTGTGTAGCCAGCGGTGAGCCAGGTTGCCCAGATGGGTCACGAGGGCACCCTTTCCCTCCTGGAGGAGGGGAGAGGGGAAGGCCTGGAGAGGTAGGTGCAGATCCCGGAAACACTTGATGGGGGGTGTCTAAGAAGTACCCTGACTAGGACGGGGGCTTCCAGTCCCATCGATGTTGGTTGGGGCCTGGGCCCTTTGCCAGTCCCCTCCTCTTCCCCCTCCCACAGGCATGAGTTCCCCAAGGGGGCCAGGCTGAGCTCTAGGGTGTGGCCTTCGCTGTCCAGCCTCCCGGGCCAGAGGTGGCTTTTCTCTGGGCAGCTTTCTCCGGGTGGGAGGGGCTGAGGGAGGAGGCTGGGTCGGTGCTCCTGGCCTTTCCCGGCAATCCTCTCTCTCTGAAGGGGCTATTACGAAACCTGACCTTTTCTCCTACTGCTGGTTAACAAACACAGCTTTTTTGGGGCCAAGAATGAGCAGGGCCAAGAAGAAAAGAAAATTGTATTTCAGGAAAAGCAGCCAGATTGCTTGCTCCTGAGCTGCGCACACGCGGGCCGGCAGGTCTCCGGGCCGTGGGCACCTTCTGAGGTCTCCGCCCCCGGTGGAGGAGAGCGGCGCCGGCCTGTCAGTCACCTCCAGGCCCAGCCCCCCGGGCTGCAGGCAGGCTTGTCCCAGCTGAGGAGCCTGAGCAGAGACTGTTCTCCTGTGCATGTGTAGGGGGCCTGTTCAGAGATGTCCTCCCAGGTGTCTGTGACCCTAGTGTGTGGGGAGTTGAGAGCAGGAAAAGAGCAGGGTGCTGTCGGCATCCTCTTTGGCCACAGCCTTTCAGTTCCCTTCCCATGAGAAGCCCCTTTCCAAAGCTGGGGTGTGGGGTTAACTGAGTGACCACAGGGCACTGAAAGGCTCTGGGTTAGGCCAGTCGAGAACAAGGGATAGGTTGGTGCTAAGGACATTTCAGCACCAGGGCCCTTTCCTGGCAAGGAACCCATAGTTGGGAGTTCGTTGGAAATTCCACTTGGGGGAGAGGCTTTTCTGAAGCTTGAGAGGTGGTGGGCACTTTCAGTGGGGGGGTGGAGTGAAGCATGTTCCTGGGAGCAGGGGCCTTTGGTGTGCCCCTCCCAAGGTTCTAGTGAGGTCTGGGGCTGGAGAGGCCTTTCTGGCCCAGCCTGCCTGACCTCCAGTGTTGACAAGCTCAGGGAGAAAATGAGATGGGGCTGGGCATCAGGGCTGGTCAGAGGGCCCACCTCTCACTGGCATTCTAGCTCTTGTGGGGCATTTGATGCACGAGGGTGGCTGTAGTTCTGTGTGGTCTCTCAGTCCTTCTGTGTCTTTAAAAGCTCTTTTACATGTCTTTGCTTTCCTTGAGGGATCTGAGTTTTCTGCTGATCTAGAATTTGGAAACATCACCAGGATACCTTCCAACCTTTACTCTCCTAGAATTCTTGGAGACTTGACTTCTTTCTCTGGCTGGGCTTGATTGGTTCTGGGGGTCATGACTCCGACTAGAAGAGCCAGGGAGTTTGGTCCGAAGATGCACCGGCCCTCCTACAGAGCACTTCCCTGCCTGGGAGCTTGCAGGATGAGGGAAGCCCAGGATTCTATAAGGATCATCCCTTGGGCCTCTAGACCTCACCTGTAGGGCAGGGAGGAAGGCTCCTTATTGCCCCAGTTCCCTAGGCTAAGGTCCTGACCTTTAAGCCTGGGTAGGATGCCCCTTTCTCATTTTACCTCTGACAGTGCAGCCTCAGGTGACGCCAACGGGGGAGGGGAGACGCCTGCTGGGATGCTGGGGTGAGTGGAGTCAGTGGAAGGCCCAGGGCTGGGCCCATCTTGAGGCTCCAGCAGGCTGGCTACCTGGCTGGCTAGGTGGGGCAGCAGGTACCAGTGAGGCTGGGTCAACACAGCTGCTCCTGGGTGGCCCAGATACAGCCGAGTCCTGCTCAGAGACCCAGGAATTTGCTGAAGCTGGGCAGTAAAGCTGCTTCCTGGGCTCAGGAGGAGGACACTTCTCCACCCACACCTGGGCAGGTGCCCCACTGTCCATGACAACATTCCGTGCTGGTTTCTTCAATGGTCTTGTCCCAGCCTGGCCACAGCCTTCAGCTCCTCCTGTCCTGAGGCAGAGGTGTGGTCAGGAGGAGAAGGAAAGTCTTTTGCTCTGGACCCTGAGGGCTTCTCCAACCCAGGCCCACCCCTTGCTCTCCTAGTGGGGTAGGCCTGGCCCTCCAGGAGCCCATTCCTTGATTCCTTTCACCTCGGCGCTCAGTCGGGAGTGACAGGCTCGCGGTGCAGCACTCTGCCTCTAGGTGTCGCTGTCTCCCTGTGGTAGCTGCCCCGTGAGCCGGGCCTCCTTGGGGAAAGGAGTGAGAAGTGGCGGTTCTGGGTAGAGATGGAGGTGATTCTGTGGGATTGGGGACAGCGGGTGGGGGACTTCTCCCTAGGATCTTTTTATGTTTGGGGGCAGGTTGGAGTGGAGGAAGCCCCCCGCCCCCCGCCCCAGATCACTCCTCGGGGCTTGGAAAAGCCAGTGTTGGCTTTGGGCCATGGTTTTCTGTGGGGCAGGATCTGAGTGAGGGGCTTGGAGAGGACCCGGAGACCGGGAGGAGGTCTGTGTCCAGAGGAAGCCGTTTTGGGAGCTTGCTTTTGAAAGGACCAAGCGGCCCTTTCTTTC